GGTTGCACACGTACTGAGGGAATGCTTCCTACCAGGCAGCACATAGGCTGAGGCCAAGAGGAAGAAGTTGAATAAGACCAAGTGTTCAAGTCCTGCACTTTGGTGACAACAACACCATGCAACGCTACATGCTCGGGACAGAGTGGATGGAAGGTTGTGCAGAGAAAAAGATCTGGAGATATTGGTCAGTGCTCGGATGAACATGAGCCAGCAGCGTGCCCAGGAGGCCAAGAAGGCCAACGGCATCCTGGCTTGTATGAGAAATACACCAAGGAGTTGATCACCCCTCTGTGTTCAGCCACATCTTGAGTACTGTATTCAGTTTGGGACCCCTTGCTACGAGAAGGACATTGAAGCCCTGAATTGCATCCAGAGGAGGGCAAGAAGCTGGTGAAAAGTCTGGAGCACAACTCTTATGAGGAGCAGCTTATGGAACTGAGATCATCCAGTTTGGAGAAGAGGACACTTGAGAGAGACCTTATTGCCCTCTACAACTCCTTGAGAAGAGGTTGTAATGAGGTGGGGTTCAGCTTCTTCTGCCAGATAACAGTGATAGGACAAGAGGGCATGGCCTTGAGATGCACCAGGGGAGATTCAAGTTGGATATCAGAGAAACTTCTCAGAGAGAGCGGTGAGACACAGGAATGAGCTGCCCAGGAGATGGTAGAGTCATTGTCCCTGGAGATGTTCAAGAAATGTATGGATGTGGCATTGAGGGATGTGGTTAGTGGGCATGGTGGTGATGGGGTAATGGTTGGGCTGGATGACCTTAGAGGTCTTTTCCAACCTTAATGATTCTATGACTCTACGATGGGTCCCACTAGGCTCAGCACACTCCTGTTGGCTGCAGATTGTCACCCCTGCAGGAAGCCTACTGGGACACACGTGCCGGGTCCTGGGCAAACCTGCCAGTCCTAAGGCAAATGGGGGTCCCTCCTTGGCTGCCGCCAGAGCTGCCGCCGGTAATTAGCAGCATTAGCGGAAGGAAAGTTGCTTGCTCTGATCTCCTGTCCCGAGGCCACAAGGTCTCCGGGTGCTCTCCTTCCCTTTCCTCACTGCTCCATTGCACGCCGAGCGGCCCCCTCCCGCCCTCTCAGCAGTCAGGGAGGCTCCCGCTTGTATTTACCAGCAAATGATTAATTGCGGCTCTACGCTCACCGCTAATGCTGCTAATCCGGGCGGCTGCGTGTTCGGCCGCTCGCCCGGTGCCAGGCCCTGTGGGCGGAGGGGCGAGCGGCGGCCGGGGGCCGGGGGCCAGGCTGGGCTGTAATTACTCCCCAGACAAATCTCTGCCAACAGAGGAGCAGGGAAATCTCTGCCCATATTGCAGGGGCTGCAGCCCCCGCCCGCGGGATAATTTGAGACTCAAATCCCAGCAAAGACCTGCTACAAATTGCTGCAAATTAAGCTGATTTTGCCCCGAATGAGGGATTTTCTGCTGCAGATCAGCCCTTCCCGGAGCTGATGAGGTGGGGATTAGAGAGGGGACTGAAATCAAAGGGACAGGATGGTGCGGGAGGGGGGAGCGGGAGAAGGGAGCCCAGCAGTGAAAGTCCTGGGGCATTAACACTTATTGATTTCTACTTTGCTGACATTTTATTCTATTACCAAGTTTCCGATTAGCCTGTCGCTGGGATCGGTGACAGCCAGAGCAGGGTGCATGTCCGGGGCTGAGGGACACCTGCAAGTTGGCTCTGAGGAAATGCCACCTTCAGGTCTCCTGGGCTGCGTGAGCCGGGATGGAGCTCTGAACAAGCCTTAGGATCACTGGAGATGCTGTGGCTGCTGCTTTGAAGGGAGTGCCCTCCTAATTCTAACTCCTTACAACCCCCCAGATAACACATGCACACAATGTGCGGAGCCCATGTGCCCCTTCCAGCACCCGTCTGTCTATCCATCTCCCCATCCCTTCTTCTCTCCTTCCTCCCCTCATCAGGATCCTCATTTCCATCTGTTTAAACAGCAGCAGCGATGTATGTTGCAGGTATTTCAAATTGCACCATTAAAGATTTTATGTTGTGGATGTTAAAATTAAAAAGATATATGTGCAAATAGTCACTACGAATTTAATCAACTTGATTTAATACTAATAGGAAACAGCAAATGGAATTTATGACTCAAAAAGAAGCGATTTTTTTTTTTAAATAAATAGAAGTACTTTGTGCAAAACAGAAAAAAAATCCCAATCTGAAGAGTTTATTAGAGTCTAATCCCCCAACAACAACCGAACCCGGGGCTGCCCACCCAATAATCCTGGCTGCCATTAAAATATTAAAGATAAATCTAATCGTCTCTTTATCCAAAATAAGCGACTTTTATGTGGAGAAAAAATGTCTAACCCTTTGGGAAGAGAATTACTCCTAATGCATCAAATGGAATTCAGTCAGAATGGCAAAACTAGGTTTAAAAGCAAATGAGATGGTAATAAAGATAAAGGCCAGTATAACAAATTAAAAACACTCATTTACACGAATTAAAATCCCTCCTAAATGGGTTCTGAGTAAGGAGGCCGCTGGACAGTCTTGGTTCTTCTTGGTGTGCAGAGCACAGGCGGACGTGGGGAAGGCAAAGTACAGTGCTGAGCTGCAGGGAAGACATTTTACTTCTGCCCTCACATCCCACAGACAGTGTTCATCCACGTCCTACCAAGGCCCCGTGCTGCAACTTCAGACCCACATACACTTGGGGTTGTTCCAGCCCATGTCCTCCCAATGGTTGCCTCTTTCCCAGCACCAGTAGGTGCCTTGTTCCTGGTATGTGTCTTTTCCACCCACGATCTGCAGTTTGGGCACTTGTTTTCCCCATGCCCCAGGCTTCATAACGTGGTCGCATGGTCAGATTATGTTGAGATTGCTGGTGTATCACCAGCTTGGCCTTGGTCAGCCCATCCTCCTAATAAGTGCACCTGAATGCACATCCCACCAGGAGTATTGCTTTCTGGTGCCACAGCCATGAGTCAAGGCACACTCCCAGAACAGTTGCTGTTGGCAATGGGTTACAGCCTATCCAAAGCTTGGGAGACAGTTCTTTCACAGTCAACTTCATATAAGACATTTGATATATTTATAAGAACCTTTACCCGATTAAAATTTTCCTTCCAGTATAGAGCACAGACTTATTTCCATAGCAAGAAAATGGCAGGCAGTGAAAATTGAACGGTCACTATAATCAATATGCGACATGAAGAAACTTGTGGAAGTGGCACTGAGGGACATATTTTAGTGGGCGTAGTGGTGACAGTTGGACCAGATGATCTAAGTGGTCTTTGCCAACATCAGTGACTCTATGATTCTGTGATTTTATGACATGACATGAGTAAGAGCAGGTCTTTGTAGTGCTGGAACTTCAGACTGCTTCAGATTTCCCAGAATCATTTTTGTTAACTTTATAATTTTAAGATTCTTGATGCAATTTTATAGGCAAGATAAATTAGTTAATGCTTAGGGTCTGAAAAACAAGGCTGCTTCCTCTCAGAAAAAAAACTCTCTCCTCTTCCCAAATTTCATCTTTAGTTTTTACCCATGGTGGAAAGCCTCTGTGTTCTGAATAGCACTGGGTGATACAGTGTTCTTGACATCTTGTCTTCTTATTCATAGAAGCATAGCAATTACAACTCCTAAAGATAGAAACATAGAATCACTAATATCATCTAGTCCAACTGTCCACCTACCACCAACATTTCCCAGCTAAACCATGTCCCTCAGTACCACATCTACACGTTTCTTGAACACTCCAAGGACAGGGACTCCACCACCTCCCAGGGCAGCCCATTCCAATACCTCATATCTCTTTTGGAGAATAATTTTTTCCAACTAACCAACCTGAGACTACCCTGGAACAACCTCAGGCCATTCCCCAGTTGGTCCTTAGAACTTCCCTCTCTGGTCAGTTGTTTTTGTTGTTTTTTTCTTTTCCTTTTTGCTTTCCAATAGATCAATATCACAAGCACTTGAAACTGGTTGAGTAAAAAATAAGCTTGGTTGTTCCAGAACAGTAAAGGAACATCTACATTAATAGTAAGCTTGTTTGAAAAAGAAATAGAAATACTTACTTGTTTAGTATTATTCTCTTCTATTTTAGGGGATGGGGAACAGTAGTAAGAAGCCTCCAGTTTCACCCCATCCTGCACTGTCCACTATCAGAGGTAGGATCAGACACTGAGTAACCACTCCAGGTTTGCTCAAAGGGTTAATTCCCCTCCCACTCCAGTGTACAGATAACAGAGTAGCCAATATGTGCTGTTCCCAGAAAGCCTTGGGGGTCCAGTCCTTACACCTCAGCAGCCCCCTGGTTGCTAAAAAAGCCGTTGCCTAACCCCTTGTGATGAGCAGGGCAGAATGGAATGGCTTCTGTACAATGCAAGGGTGGGTCCTGGCAGCTGGGTGCTGTACAGCACAAATGGAGGTGCTCAGACATGGGAGTAAATAACAGGAGAAACACCAATGTGTCTGCATCAGGATGGAAGATGAACTGTAATGCAAAAAGCAAGATGTCACAAGAAGCATTACGCCTAGAGAAATCCTAGCTCTGCTCAGTATCAGCAGCCAGAGTCCTGCTGGTTTCAGCTGGCTGAGGATTCTACCTGGGGTTCAGATGTGCACCCTGACAATACCAGGGTAATTCAGAGCAAACCAAAACAGCAAGGTCTACTTGGAGCTGCAGTAACTCAGCCAGCAGCTGCCAGCTGTAAGCATTTAGCAATGGGCATAGCAGGTGCCATAATCTCCTTGTCATCTCTTGATTTGTATCTCTGGTGATTATTTAGAAATCAATGCACCTGATCTAAAGAAAACACGTCCCCAACAGGACTCTGATGTAGCAGATATCAGAAGCATCTATGGTTTTTGTTTGCTTTTAAAGGAATGTATCTGACAACTTGAGCTCTGTGGAGTCAAAGATTTTAAGGCCTGGAGGGACTGCTACCATCTTCTAGTCTGAACTTTAGCATAAAACAGGCTACAAAACTCCACCAAATAATTCCTGCATTAGAGCAATAGTTTCTGGATGAGTTATAGATCATCTCTTAAAAAGACTTTCAGCCTTGGTTTGAAGACTTTATGTGACAGAGAGAATCTATGACATCTGCAGGTAGGTAGCTTCAGTCACTCCTTGTGCTTCAGCAGTTTTTATTAATACAGTGAGTGTTTGTTCTTGTCATATTAGCATTCTCATGTCCTATATCCATCTACAGTGCAACATATGGCAGCAGGATAATGAAAATGCCCGGTGTCTGTGACTACAGTAGATCATAAGTTAAAGAACTACTAAAATAAAAATGGACTAGAAGAGACTTTTATACAAAGTATTTTTCCCCACGCAGGGTTTGAAAAGAGAGAGGCAGAATTGGCGTTGCCACTTCCATCAGTAGAACATGCAAAGGAAACCAGGACAGGTGAAGCTGCACTGGAAGGACCGAAAACACACTGCAGAGGAAGGGAAGAGCATGGGAACATTAGGTCTGTGACCCAGTGAGTGTGAACCCATTGCAGTTTGTAGAGGCAGAGGGCAAGGTGGCTTTGAACCAGGTGCTGAATGAAGTTACACACAACACATGGTAGAGATGGAGAGGAAGTGACACTTCTTTGCAGACTGAGGGGGGTGATGGTGACAACATGTTTCTGGTGGAATTCAGAGTGTTCATGGATGCAGAAAAAGGGTGGGAGAAAGTCAAGACTGGGTTAATTGTAGAACAGAGCAATAGAAAAACTTGGGTTGGAAATGACCTTAAAGCCTATCCAGTCCCAGCCCTATGCTGTGGGCAGGGCTGCCCCCACCAAATCAGGCTGCCCAGAGCCCCATCCACCTGGCCTCAAGCACCTCCAGGGATGGGGCGCCCAATGCATGTGCTCAGGATGAAATATGGGTTTGCAGACAGATGAGAAAGGAGGAAAAGTTCAGCATCAAAGTTAATGCAGCAGAACAATGGGGAAAGATAAAGGATGTGTTGGAGTATGAAAATGTGATAAGGTTCTGAGGGGCTCTCCCCAGGGGAGCGTTGGAGTTGTTAGGATGAGGAAAGCTCCAATAAAGCCAATATTTACTCTGATCATGGCAGGCTGAAAAGGTTGCCGGAGATTAATCATAGAGATATTGAAATGTAAGTAAGTGTTCAGTGACTTAAGTCCACTGGACTTACTGAAATGTGAGTTCAGATTCCTAATCACAGGAACTGTGCTAGCTTGCAGGGAGGCAAGGAGCAATGAGAGCAGGCATATTAAAAAGCAGACTGCCAAACATGGAGCTCTGTAGCTCAGTGACCAGAGTCACAAAGAATTTGACAGAGGGGGAGCAAGCTGCCATCACAGCCCTGGGGCATGGCCGAAAAAGGGAGGGCCTCCAGCACCCCCAGGGTAGCAGTGGGGTGAGGCTGTGCAGGTACATTGGGTGGAACCATGCCGCAAAGGCAGCAAATGCCCTAGTGGGCAGGTGGGGAAATGTTGGGAGAAAAGCAATGAGAAGAGAATTAAACATGAGAGAAAGACCCTATGTAATTCTACAGACTGACTAGTTTGACTTTTGTGTAAACAGTGGAATGAACTACTGCGCTTGCAGATCACCAGCTGCCATTCAGGGAGGCACAAAGTGACAGAGGTGACACCTGCTGCAGAGTGGTCCTCAGGCTGATAAGCTCTGATGGACTTAAGCTAGAAAATGTGATCATCCTCAAATAATTATTCCTTTCCTTGTGTAGGGATGCAAAGTCAGGCCTGGAAGAAGCAAGAGAAGGAGGAGGATGGCCACAGAAGTTTGAGAACATGGGCTCAGGCTGAAATGCTGCCTCTGTGCATTATTGCACCATGTGTGAACCCAGGACAGTTCTGTAGGTGCAGGTGCCATGTGCAGGTACTCGCCCCAACACCTGTGCTGATCATGGGAGCCACAGGACTTCAAAGGGCTTCAGATATGGTGATCTGGCAGGGGACAGTCTTAGCAGTATTCCATCAGAGTGAAAGTGCCGTTGGTTTGTCCAGAGAAGGTGTGACATCTGGCATCTGAAGTAGCCCAGAAACCTTTTGCAGGCCAAGACTCTAAATTAGGATTCCCAACATCCGCAGAGCGGATGTATGGGCTGCCAGGGGCTGTTAGGCAATCCCAAAGGACCTTGACCATCCCAGACAGATCCCAGTTTCTGTAGCTGCTCCCATTTCTAGAGGCACATGCTGTGAAAGGGCTACCTGCTTGAGTGAGTGACACAGGTGATGCCTGAGGATCTCTCTTCAATGAATGTTGAAAAGGTTGGGGTCAGGCATGCGGGACAAGGTGTGTGGCACTGTGCCCACGGGTGGTGAGAGATGCTCTCAGCTACCACAGCACTGTGTGGTGGATCTGCCTGTGGGTGGGCGGTGTTGGTCCTCTGATGACACAACCCAAATGTTTCTCCAGCACATAACGCTCAGCCCTACTCTGCTTCAAAGAACACAGCTCAGCCTCAGTCCTGAGGTCCTCTCCACGCACCGTAATTCCCTGCAGACCACCCGTTGATCACTGCACGAGCGGCAGACCCGGGGATCCGGCGTTTTCCCCAGAGGCTCTTCCACGTATCCCTCCTCGGGGCCGCTGCCCCACGGGCTGGAGCCCCGTTTTGCGGCAGGGCCCTATTCCGCCGAGCCCAGCTCCCAGACCTGCCCCGCCGGGCACCGGCCCCACCGCCGCCGGTGCCGGTGGCGGCTTTTTGGCATCCCTAATCGCGGCTGGCCCCTGTGATTGGCTGCGCGGCTCTGACCCCGCTCGGGCTCCCGGCTGGGCGGATAAAAGGGGCCTGAGCCGGGGGCTCCTAGGCATTCCCGGAGCGGGCACCAGGGACCGACGGCCACAGCATGACGGGCAAAGCGGGCGCGGCGCTGGCCCCCAGCCTGCCCGGCAAGCCCAAGCCCGACGGCGCGGCCGCCGCCGCCCCGCCGCCGCCGCCCCCCGCGGCGGGAGCCAAGCCCAGCTCCGGGCCCACCCCTCCTCGCTGCACCGGCTTCGGCATCCAGGAGATCCTGGGCTTGAATAAGGAACCGCCGTCGCACCCGCGGGCCGCCCTGGACTCCCTGCCCGCCGGGCACCTGCTGGCGGCCCGCTCCGTCCTCAGCCCCGCCGGGGTGGGCGGCGTGGGCATGGGGTTGCTGGGGGCCGGAGGCATCCCCGGCTTCTATGCGCAGCCCACCTTTCTGGAGGTGCTCTCCGACCCGCAGAGCGTCCACCTGCAGCCTTTGGCCCGAGCTCCCGGGCAGCTGGACAGCAGCCAGACGGCCAGCTCAGGTAGGCACGGTCCCGGCCCTCGGGGGCACCGCCGCCGGCAGGCACCTTCGGAGCCCCGCGCCCGGCGGCGGAGAGGTGATTTCGTTTCGGAACCGAGGAGAAGGAGGAAAAGAACGAGGGAGCTCGGGACCGGCCCTCCCCGGCTGAGGCCGCGGCCGCGCCGTGACGGCACGGCCCGTGGCTGCACCGAACACCGGTGGAGCGGCCCTCGCTCGGCCCCGGCGGCCCCAACTCGTTGCCGAGAAATTAAGGCCCGCTCCCATCCAGTTCCTAGACGGCGACAGCCGCCCGCAGACCCCGCTCCCGGAGCGGCGGGCAGCGGTGTCCCGCTTCGTCACCGAGCGTCCTCCCGGAGCTCCCGTACCGTGCCCGCCGTCCCCTCCCGCAGCGTGGCCGCCGGGAGCGTGGAGCCTCGGCCGGCGTCTGCCGGGTGGCGGCGGGCGAGAAGCGGCCGGAGCTCGGGGCCAGTGCTGGGGCAAGGCGGCCCGCACCGAAACGCGCCTCCCGGCTCCGAGCTCCGGCGGCTCCCGAGGGGCGAAGGCGGCACCGCCCTGCCCGCAACACCCCCGGCCCGGGCACCCCTGGGACGTGCGGCGGCCGCGGGCAGATGCCATTCCCGGCTATGTTTTTCCCCGTGGCTGCAGCAACCTTTATTTTTCCTCCTTCCCGGCATTTCAGCTGAGCAGCGCGGGTCCCCCGCCCCGGGGCGGGAGGCAACGGGTGCCCTTGGCTCGGGGAGGGGGCCGCGGCTCCCTCCATTTCGTACATTTTGTTGAGATCGCGGTCTCCGCGTTTCGGCGGCACGACAACGGCAGCCCCGCAAACGACTCCGGGCGACATAAGGGACGGCGAGAGCCCCCTCCCGGCCCGCAGCCCTTCTCGGAAGGGTACGGTGTCCCCGAGCCGCCCGCAGCGGGATCTGGGCCGGGACCGGGACCGGGCTGCAGCCCGCAGTCCCTGGCCGCGCCGCGATCGCAACGAAAGCTCCGGGCGGAGATGCCGGAGGGAGCGGATCTGCGGGGCCCCGGCGGGGAGCGAGCTCCAGCCCACGCCCGCTGCCCTTCTCTCCGCAGATTCCGAGGATGTCTCCTCCAGCGACCGCAAAATGTCCAAATCTTCCCTCAACCAGAGCAAGAAACGAAAGAAGAGGCGGCACAGGTAAGCAAAGCCTGGCGGCCCCGCATCTCTTCCCGGGAACCGGCAGCACCGGGCCCCGCTGCCGCTTCGCGTCCACAGCAAGTAGGATTCGGGACGTGCCCATAGGAGCGGGAATTGCAACGGCGATTAGCTTGGTTTGGTTTTCTGGCTGCGGGTTAGGGCTGAAAAAATTCCCAACCCGTCCCAAAGCGAAGAGGTGAAATAACCAAAAGCGCTCCTCGCTTAGCAACCTAAAATTGGGCTGTCAGCAAGGGAGAATTTCTATCAAGGATCTCAAAATTTGCTACTTAAAAATTAATGTTTCGCCAATAGATGCAATAGTCGGGAGGTAGTCCTAGCCCGCGGAATGCCTGGAGACTCGCTCTGGGGAATGCTCTGGGGCTCGCTTCCCCTCGCTCCTCCCGCAGTGAAAATGGAGTTGGATGTCCGTGCTTTAAAATCGGAAACGAACCTCCCGCCTCGGCTCGTGGCACCGCTGCGGCCGCAGGGCCGGGACGAAGGCACCTGGGCACCGTCCTTCGGGGCTGACTATGGAGCAATTAAATCAATCCCGCCACGGTGCGGGAGGTGAATTAAAGGTGCCCCAGCGTAAGCTCAGCGGCTGCGTGGGTCCAGAGGGATCCGAGCAGGAGGTGCGGGGGTTCGGCCTGAGCTAGCGGGGTGCTGCCGGGCAGGTGCTGTTCCAGAGCCAACGAGGATTCGTTTCTTTCTTGCGAGTTGAAACAGCGCATGAAACTGTTCCGTTTCCAGCTCCAAACAGCAACAGACCCGTAGCACTGGTCGGTGGTTATGCATTCTGTAAGGAATGGTTAAGGGCTGTGGTTGTACCGAAGCAGCTGACAGGCCGATAGCTCGCACATAGCTGCAGGATTTGAGCAGCAAACGGCAGAGCGCGGTGTGTGCTGCACAGGGCCGGGGCTGCCCGGGAGGCAGCGGGGAGAGCCGAGTGGGCTCTGGGCACTGCCCCGGCGCGGGAGGTGCGGGGCTCCGCGGCTGAACCGGATCCGAACGGGGAGCGCCGTTCCTCTGCTCCTGGGGAGAAGCAGGAGCCGCCGTGCGCTGACCCCAGACTTCCCACATTTGTGGGAACGAAAAGTGTTGAAAAAGAAAATGGATTTCGTTGTGAACGGGGACCGGGAGCTGATGGTGGGCAAGTGCCTCGCATTTGCATGCTGCTTTTGTAGGTAATGCCATCTATCTGGCAGCATCGTTCAGGTTCTAAATAGCTGAGGATATTTTTGAGACTTTCTGTTTGTGCCCTCTGGAATTTTGTGGCTTTCCTGAAACTCCTGCATATTTAAAAAAAAAACGATTTTTTTTTCACTCTTTTTCCTTACGGCTGCTGTATGTTTCTTAATAATTTACACAGTTACCTCGAACAAAGGTTGTAAGTTGCTGTTGTTGCTGTTTTTCTGGTAGGATTTTTTTGTCTGCTGTTTGTTTTTTTTTTTTTTTTTTTTTTGTTTGTTTCTTTTTGCAATCGAAATGCTGTGAGTTCTCACTGAAAATCGCATTTTGCCTACAACGGGGCTTTAGGGTGAGAACGTCAGTTCCTGCAGAGTTGAAGTGGTCCGAGACCTCTCGGCCATCCCCTGAGAAGGGCTCTCAGCTGCCTTGGTGTCCCTGCTTTTCAGTCTGCCTGTCCTAAGAGTGAGCAATGCTGCGGCTGCTGCCTGCCCAGGAGGTTCCTGGAGGACAACAAGGCAATGCCAGCTGACAGAGAGCAGCTACTGGGGTATCAGTGTGGGAGCAACCAGTGTGAAGGTGGAGAGAGGGAGCTGGCACTGCACATCTGGAGCTCCAATCCAGAGAAGGGCAGGATGCAGCAGTAGAGCACAGAGTGAGTAAAGGCTTGGGAGGGTTCAGTGGGAGCCCAGGCTCCAGGGAAGGCTCTCTGCCCCTCTGCTGGCCATGGGGGGATGTTCCCAGCAGGATGTCCCTGACCAGGAAGGTGATTTGTAACTATACCAAGCTCTGTCTTCAGCCATTTTCAGGTTCTCCTTTTACCTTGACATCTGACCTTTTGTGCACAAAAACACAGGAGGCGAAGGGGAAATACTATGCTTTATCAATTACTCAGGTTTCTGTAGCATCTGTGTTCATTTCTCTGACTCTGTATTTCCTTTGCTGCATGTTATGTTTTTTGGTCAAAGAGTTTTGTTCCTCTCAGGACAATCTTCACATCCTACCAACTGGAGGAGCTGGAAAAGGCCTTCAATGAGGCTCACTACCCTGATGTGTACGCTAGAGAGATGCTGGCCATGAAAACAGAGCTGCCAGAAGACAGGATACAGGTAACAGTATTTCTCGGGTCCCCTTGTCCTGCCTCTCCTGGCCATGCTCATTCCAACCTGAAAGAAAGGAGACATGTGGGACAGAGTTTGCTTCTCAGATTGAACCCCCTGAGCTGTCCATTCCCTTTAAAAATGTGGGCAGCCAGACCAGTTGTTTTTTTGCCCATCTGTATGTGGGGTTTGTCTGTCAACATGTGCTGTGTGTGGGATGTTGCAGTGGTGATTTGGGGTGTGTGTGTGTATGTTAAAGAGGGAATCTTGAATCACTGAAGGGGAACTGCTGTGCAAGGAACGTCTGTATGGTTTTGAGGTATTGGTAGTACAGGTGAATGAGAGTTGGCTGGAGTCAGGATCTGGGTGGCCAGACTGGGTGGGATGGATCTCATGTGTGCCCCTCTGGACTCAAACCTGGGGGCCACAGCAGGTAGTTGGCAGAGTTGAGAGGTGAGCCTCAGGTGTGATGTCTGCACATCTCTGCGAACTCATTGCATTTGCCTCTTCAAATACAGGTTCCCTGAATGTTTCTGTGGATCTTTATTTTTTTGATTACATGTAATGTTTGGGCAATATTTGTGCCAGCCCTGTGATGACATTGCAGAATGTTCTTGGGCAGATCCAACACGAAGTCCGCCAGGGCGGACTCCAGCAACTACTTTGTGCCTGGCTCCCTCCAGAATCCTTGTGAGGCACAGGGGTGTAATGGCCAAGACTTGAACCCATTTTTGCTGATGCAGTATTTACAACAGTGTTGCATTTGCTGTTAGGTGAATCTGTGAGTCCTGGTTTCAAAGTGAGCTGGGCTTCTTGCCCACTGTGTCAACAGGACTCCTGCTGACCTAACAGCTTGTAGACACTGTGCACAGATGAGATTTCTGCTGGGCTTCAGAAGTCCCTTTGTTGGAAATCCTACTGGTCATTAGATAGGATTTTTGTCTGAGCAGCAGGACCCAATAGCTTACCTCTAGAGGGAGTGAGCTGCATAAGAAATTGCTTCTGCACATGCACAGGTTAAAAAGCCCAGGGAAAAGGGACCTGTGGAAGGTCAGTGTTGCCTGCATCCACCATCTGACGCTGGGCTGGCAGGAAGGCCTTGTGCACTGCATGCACTGCTTCACATCTGGGACATCCTCCTGGCACTGAGAGCCATTATGTTATCTGACTGGGAAAGGAAGAAGTGGCTAACTCATTCCAGCTCTCTGGCATGCTGCCTGTCATTCTGTAGCAGGCTAATGAGCAACCACAACTCTTCCTGTACTGCTGGGCTTTTAAACCTAGGGGATCTCTCTGCCATGGCCCCTTGCCCAGGAGTTCAAGGCAAACGTGGCCTGCAGAAGCCCTCAATGATGTGCATGTTCTGAGCAATAGGTGCTGCTAAAGGCACAAATATTCCAGGAGAAAGTCCTCGAGTGGCATTTTGCTCATCATGAAAGGGAAAAGAGAAGCAACAGAATTCCTATGGCATCTATTGTGTGAGTGCCTGAGGGCCATATAAAAGCCCTGAGCACCACTGATGGGGAGAAGCGTCTGTTCCCACTGATCCTTCCAGAGGGTCAGCACCAGAGCATCCCTTACCACGTGCTACATGAAGCCTCCCTGTTCATAACTCTTATTTTGTGTCAAAAATCAATTCCTAGCTTTGGTCATGTTGCTTGATATTTCTCTCATGTTTCAGCTTAGCTCTCTTAGTATGAGTTGTTTCTCCCTTTATTATAACATTTTCTAAGGACAGTCATGGCCACCAGCTTAGACCATGGTGTGAGGTTGATGTTGGGATGGGTCTGAGAGCAGGGCAATACTCTGTGATACTTACTGAGTGCTTTGAGAGCTTACCAGGGTTTCAAATTCATGTAAATACTTCAGTATCTGGTGGCAAAGGCTTCCACAGCAGAATCGCATGAATGAAGTACATCTTGCTTTGAATCCATGAGCATCATTTAATGCCACACACTTCTCTTGGAAGAGGCAGCCAACAATTAATCTTTATTCCCTTCTTCATAATATTTACAATTTTGCATCATCTTTTTATTTTTTTTTTCCCTTGTATGTGTTTCTAACTGATGAGGGAGGTCTCTATTTCTGCATTCTCACTGAAGCCTGCAGTTCCTCCCATCTCTCAGCACTGCTCTCTCTCCTGTAGGTCATTAATGTGCGTGGTTTCTCAGATTGTTGTGGATATCACATGCCATGGGCTCTTGCAGCGTTTCATGTGGGTTCCCACTGGATCCTCACCTAAGAGTGATATCTGCCCCTTATTTTCATTCATGGGATTATTTCTCAGGAGGTAGTAGTCAAAGAGAAAGTAAATCACCTATGAAATTCAATATGAAAGTGAAATTCGGAGAGTGCAATTGAGAGAATGATATATAGGAACTGCTTGCGTGTAAAACCTCCAGCAGAACACTACAAATAGCCATCAGAGGACACAAAAGTTATTGGTTTGAGAGAATATTGAATTCAGGAAAAGATATTCAAATCTTCCATTTACAGAGAAGATGAGCATGTATTTTTTATTTTTTATTTTTATTTTTTTCAAGACAGCATTCCTTGCCTTGCATATACCATCTCCTGCACTGAACTGGCTGCTGCTGGGAGGATTGTGAGCATCCTCCCACTGGGCTATGTGGGAAAAAGATTTGATTTTTCCCGATGAGACACAAGTCAGACCAGATGTCACTGTGGCCATTTTGCACGGTACTTGAAATGGACCACATTAATCAATGCATTGAGAAAAATATTCGGGAGAGTTTAAGTGCTGCTACTAAAATCAACCCAGACCATCTTGTACAATGTAGGTGGGGTAAATAGATTTATGCAGGGATGTATATCCTGAATAAGCAACTTGAAGTGATGAAAACAGCATCAAGCTGACAAGTATTTTAATGTTTGTCTTAAATTAGAGCCTTTATCTCAAAAGATTCTCTTAAACGTAACATGTGGATTTAGATAAGTTATCTCTATTGAGTTTATTAATATGTGACATTTTCAAACTTTAAATGCCATTATCTATAATACTAAAGGTCAGTAACAGATTGATTTGGATTATTGAAATGAGAGTAGTGTTGTTCTTTCTGAGGTTTGAGGTTCCAACCTTCCATAACTACTCTCAGCAGGTGACAACCTGACTATTTTCAGGTGATTCTCACACTTAGGCCAGGCACAGGGCCAGAGGGTTCCCACCCATGCAGCAAGTTGGTGATGACGGTGTAGCTGGAGGTGAATGACCAGGACGAATGGGCTGCTTGGTAGTAGATTATCAAGGTGATGGAGAAGCTGAAAATGTTGCTGTTGTGTGAACCAACCTTTTCAATAGCTTTTTTTTTTCTTTTTTTTCTTTAAAGAGTCCTGCAAGAAGTTAATCATGAAGTAGAACTAAGGAGCTATGCTGGCAACCTTTTCCAATAATTCCTGAGCACTGGGACAAGCCACAGCAGCATGATACCAGATAAATATCATTAACTTTCCCTGTGCTTTTAGAGATGTAGGAAGTGTACAAGTGAGAGTAATAACACTAATCAAGCTTACTGGCTTGGTGAGAATATTATTATGAGTGGTTCTCATAGTGTATGGTGCATCTCTGCCTCCATGTCTTTAATTGGTATGTGAGAGGTTCATCCACTTTGCTGCCTCTTCAATATTGTGCTTGTTTAGTTCATCTGACTTCATATTAATTTTAATTTTTCAATTAAGAGTTGTTTAATTTGGCCCTTTCTGTAATTGAGTGTTTTCATTACCCTTTATCTATGGCTCGTTTTCAGTTTATGTGCTGAAACTTTGTTTACGAGTTAATTACCATAGCTGTAAACAGAGGGGCTGGGTGGTGTGCAAACACAGGGGCCCTTGCAATCCTGGGTTCACCATCTGAAAAGTCTCACATCACATGCATTTGGACAGAGCAAAAAATGAGGCAGGAAGGTAAATGGGTGGCATGGAACACCTGCTTACTGTAGAGTGGAAATTTCCTGCCTGCTGCTAGACTTTGCAGGTAACCTGCCCTGTTTGTGTATTTTACCTGGGTAGAGTTGGGGCTGTAGGTATTATTTGTTTTTGTTGGTGGTGGTGGTGGTGGTTTGGTTTTTTTGTGTGTTCTTTTTTTGTTTGTTTTTGAGCAGTGATGGAGGCATAGAGGTATGTACCTCTGTATTTCCAGGTACCACTTTATCTCTCTGCATTCCATCCCCAAGTTCCATTGGTAACAGACCAGATTTCTAAATGGGACAGAAATTCAAACTAAGCCAACCTTGGATGTCTTAGTCTTCTGCCTTCTGCTCTGCCCCCTGCAAGATGTTCACAACTGTCATAGCATAAGGGTGTCACAGCATGATTTTGGTGTGCTCCTCCATAGTAGAAAGAGGAAAATGGGGCAGTGCTTTCTCTGCGGTTTGGAGAGCCCACACCTAAGGTCAGGCACCTCCAAGTATTGAGACACTTCTCTGTGAGAGGGAAGACGGCTACCAACAAAACATACCATAGGCCATTGCTGTGAAAGCCTTGGCAGGGCCTTTCTCCATCACAGATGGGAGAATGAGGGAGCAATGGCTCTGCAGGGTCTGTGCCACACTATAACTACTCAGGATCTCTTCCCCACATTTATCCCACTGTTTTCTTAACAGATCTCTGAATTAGCTGAGGCACTGTTGTTCATTAGTTACTTCAATTGTTCAATAGTGAATTCCACTCTAACCTTTGGGTGCCTGGCAGAGAGACCAGCTGATGGTTGTGCTCAGGTTTTCTCTTAATGGCCTGTTATTATACATTTTTCCTCCCTTCCTGACTTTGAATGCAGATTTTTTTTTTTTAATGATTCAATAACTTAGGTGCTTTGGAGGTCTAATTTAATTTCATTAATTTACTTTTCTCCTTATTTCTTAATGTCTTTTTTTTTTTTGTGTGTGTGTGTGTGTGTGTGTGTGTATGTGTTTTTGGCGCTTTTCTTTTTTTGTATAGTGCTTATCATTTACCCTGATAGATCTCAATAATTTAAGCTTGGCTCACCCAGAGGG